ACCTTTGTAACCATCTATAAACACATTTATAACATGTTATAATGTATTCATAAGGCATTATAAACATGGTTATAAATATTTATAAAAAAGAATTACACTGAATTACACTTTATAGCCATGTTTATTATACATTATGAATTGTTAATATAATGCATTATAAATAGTGTTAATAACATGTTATAATGTCAGTGCCAAAGAAGTCAGTCCCAGCTTGGAGAGTGTAAAGTAAAGACAAATACCAAGCTAACGGTGGTGTACATTACCTTTCCCACATTGGGTAAAACACTGATGGCAGCACTAGTTTAAACTCTGACATTTGAAGCCTGTAATGTGCTTTACTGTGTATGTTTTAGTGTTTCAGTAAATCCTTCAGTAAATACTTCAACTTGAAGCCTCACTCTGAACACTGGAGGAGGCTTTAGTACAGTACGCTTCACTTTACTTAGAGCGGACAAATACGACTTATGAGCTCTTATAATTTGTTATGAACAGTACTTATAATGTATTATGTTAACAATTCATAATGCATAATAAACATGGCTATAATGTATAATGCATTTTTATAAATATCTATAGCCATATTTATAATGTCTTATGAATGCATTATAACATGTTATGAATGTGTTTATAGATGCTTACAAAGGTGACATTCGTACAAAGTGTTACCGAAATAACCATCTAACTTCTAAAGTTTTAAGAACCTCCACTTAATATAAAGGTTCTACATCAAATGTTCTTCCTAGAAATCTACGTCTAAAGCCAAGAACCACTGAGAAACCTTTATTTTTAAGAGTGAAGGTGGGTGAAGGTTGCAAGCTCATCCGCTAGATTTCTGAGGTCCAGGATTCAGCAGGGGGACCGATGCGGCACTGGTCAGACTTTGGAGAGGAGGAGGAGGAGGACTGAGAGAGGAAGGGCCAAGGCCTACTGTACACGGCGAGGAAGAGGAGTTCCAGAACGGCTTCCGAGAGAGCAGAGAGGCAAAACCAGCCGGGAAAGATTACGGAGAAGAGATCAAAACGAAACATCGAAACCTGCTGCGGTTTTCCTCGTAGCAGTGAGGGTAACGGTATATCACAGATTATATACAAACACCCTGCCCTTTCATTCAGCGCCAGTACACAGGTGCGTGCGTGCTAGTGTGTGAGCGTTAACTACTGCAGCATGTTGATGAGTGACCACGTGTCCAGACTCGTCTGCCTATAAACAAATGAATCGCATGAATAAAGGACCTCATTTATTAAATATGCATCCAATTGATGCATATTTATCCAAACTGATCCAAATTGAAGGACTTTTCTCTGCCTGCCATGAAACATCTGCCAAGTCCAGAGATGGGTAGTGACTTGTAGTGTCATTTCTCGCCAACTTTCCTTGAACCTGGCAGGCCATGTCAAGGATTTCTAGTGAAAAAATCCAGCAAAAACTTCAATTTTATTCATGCAACCATGCAAAATGTCAAAATTCTGAATATTTTTTTTTAGTCATGAGTTTTTAAAGTTTACCCCAGCAGGTTCTACATATTGAGTATACATGTATATTACATATTAAGTTTAACTGCTTATAGCACAACTGAATTTAGCTGAAATACTGAATAAATTCTCAAAAATAAGTTAATTTATTGTATTATTTTAAATATTTTATTTCAGCATGTGAAATCTTCACCGTTGAAATGCAATCATGATCAGTTTTCAAAAGAATTTTTTGCAAAATTTAGTTTTTATGCAGTGTTCTATCGAACCCTTGAATTCTCCTTGAATCCCTTAATGCAATATATGAAGCTACACAACATTATTCAAATGGCAAAACAACAAATTTCTTTTGCAGATTTCTTTTCAGCCCTATATTTTTCCAAAAGGGACCAATGTTCTATCCTTCAAACTTTTTCCTGAATATGTACATTTATGTGTGACTACAATATGAAAAAAAAATGTATTTGACAATCAATGTCTCCATAGTTCAGCCACTGAGATGTAAAGAAAGTCCTTCAGAGTGGTTTAATGTGAAATGGTTCTTTGTAGAGAAACAAACAGTCAGATTTCTTTACAGTGGTGGTGATGGGAACCAGGAGTCACAATATCTACAACACAAATTTTAGCCATTTATTTACTAACTAAGCCTAACCCTAACCCTAATCCAAAATCAGCAGTGAACCTGCACGTGTCTTTTTATATGTAATGTTAAAGGTGGTAAAATAGTGCTATACCTGGAAAAAAAGACTTTTTTTCAGGGATTATTTTGCCTTACAGCACTGTATGTACCTCTCTGCCATGAATCATTTTCACCTCTTAGGTACCTCTTTTTATTATAAAAACAGTAAAGAAGTAAATAGAAAAAAAAATTTTCTAAATTAACCTTTATAATGCTCAAGGAAGTCTGTGTCTTTTCAAAATACACATTCTTCCATTTAGTCCTGCCTTCCGCCCATTGACCACTGGAATAGGCTCCAGCTCCCCCCGCAACCCAGAAGGATAAGCGGCTTAGAAAATGTGTGTGTGTGTGTGTGTGTGTATGCTTCCATTTACAAGTATTCTGCTTTGCTGGCTATTGAAATGATTTTTCTACATTCCACATGCAGCAAAGACCTTGAAAGTTATGAGAATATCAGGAGAAACATATTTGATATTTGAAAATGTCAGTGACACCAGCAGCAGGAAATTGAGATTCATATGAAATCAGCATGTGGAACTGTATCCCTGGGAAGCTTATTATCTCCTGGTATAATGAAAAATGATAATTCTGGTAAACATCAGATTACAGTGGTGATGTCTTGATGTAAATATTAGGCGTTCAAGCTTATTTTGATGACTAGCACAGCAAGGTGCTTACTGAGTGTCTGTGCAAGAGATGCTGTATATAATACATCCCTCAGCAGCAACACACACACACACACACACACACACACACACACACACACAAGCTAAACCACTTATCATTCTGGGTCGAAGGGGGGGCTGGAGCCTATCCCTACAGTCATTAAGCGAAGGCAATAAACACCCTGGAAAGGATACCAATCCACTGGGCAGACACACAGACATATATAATCACATACACTTTCCCACCTATGGGCAATTTAGCATGTTCAATCGGCCTGAATGCAGCAAGAAACAGAAAAATATATCACCACTCAACATTCAAACATTCTGGAGCACAATACAGGTTATTTTGGAAAGGCAGCGTTTTTAATTTATTTTATTTTTTTATTTTACTATTTCTCTATATTGTGCATGCTTGTCAAATGTCATATAAATTTCATATTTAAAAAAAAATATTTTAAAATAAGAAGCCTTAGCATATTTGCATTTTTCTTGTATGTTATTGAGACATAGCTGTCCTTATTCAAGATAAAGCTTAACAGAAATAGGCTTAGTCCCTCCCAAGCAGATTTTTATTGTGAAGCCTTTCTAAACTCATGGTGTAGCTTCAAATATTGCAGATAGAAACAAATATTTCAGAGGATTAGCATCAACAGAAATGTAGGCATACTGGATAAACCAAAATTTTGCAAAAATGATTTTTAAAGCTACTTCAGTGATGAAAGTTTATGCAATAAAAGTACACTCTCCCAATAAATGAGCCTGCTGTGAGAATATCTTACCATGAAACCAGCTGATGTAATGTGTATTATTTTAGTGTTGTATTTATATCCAGATACTATTTCTGCTTAGTTCAGTCACTCTGTAAGCATCTAAACTCCACATTTAAGATTTAGAACCTTAAATATTGCAAACTTTAAAAACTCATAACTAAAAAACTATTTAGAATTTTGAAATTTTGCATGGTTGCATGAATTAAACACATATTTTCTTGGTTTTTTCTATGACATAGGTGAGTTAGTATGAAATGAACAAGCTACTCTCTCAGTTGTGTGTACAGAATTTTGATGGATGAATCTCTGAGTATTTTAAAACGACAACACTTATTTTTATGCCAAAATTCATAATTTGAGTATTTACTTTTTTCTCAGTTCCACTTTTATCCATTCACATTTAGTTCCTAATTCCTTTTCTGGGTAAAATTTCATTCTGTTCTGTTAGTCCAGCTCTACTTTTCTGCTTTACTGTTCTTTCATTAGCTTTAGCATTTTATTTTATATCAAAAAGAGACGAATAGAGCGTAACAGACTTCATTTCCTATGCTGATAAATGCTGGGTGTATTAAGAAGTTCCACTGCAGTTCAATAGGAAACTCAGCCCTTCATTAGTTCTGGACCTGACACTTTTTTACTCAAGTTGGAAGCTAATTTGACTTGGACTTGAGTTATTACTTCACTGAGTATGGGTTAAGGCTGTTCTAGCCACTTCTGGCCATGACTGACTGTCTGGCATTAAAGGAATGGTATATCTCAGATATAGTTGATCCGCCAGGACATATTCGGTGTCCACATTTTGCTTCTTTTGTTTAGCACTGGAGCTACAAGGCTAACACTGCTAACAAACACAATGATCACCTGAATCTTATCTGTAAATGCATCCCCAAAACTTCTCTCAACCTGATCTAATTTGCGATTTCTGTTTTCCTTTTTTAATAGAAATATATTTCAAGATCAACACTTATTCATAAAAAGAAATGGCAGAAATTGCAAACATGCTCCGTAGTGTCCACATGAATGATATGTTCAGTTTTGTTTATTTTCATAGTTCACACTGGGACTTAAACCACATCAATAAGTCTACTTGAACTTTTAGCGGTGTATTTGTGTGACTATTGACTTCTAGTGTCCAAAATTTGGGCGCCAAAGTTGTCCTGGCTGATTGACCACATCTGGGGTTAGTGGAAAACTGGGCCAATTTGATTTTTCGCCAAACCATTCCTTTAATAATAAATGAGGCTCAGTATTCTTAAGTGATGGGATGATGCAGAAAAACACTAAGTGGCTGTATCTAGTTGCTGTGAGTGGGTACACATGTGAGAAGACCGACTGCTGAACAATGTAATTACATGTAATGTGTGTTTTTTATGCCTAAATGGTGTTTCCAGAGGTGTGTGTGTGTGTGTGTGTGTGTTGTTGTGGCGCTACTCTCAGAGATACAGATCCGGGCGGCGTGTTTGTGCTTTTTAATGCTAGATTCAGCATTTATACGTATGAGTGCGGCAGTGGTGCGTGTTAATGTGTATGTGTGCTCTCATAGTCTGGTCTGGGCTTCAGGGATATAGATCTCAATGCTGTCCGCGCTCTCTGTGGCTGAATTCTGCCGCACGGATGCCGCCCTCTTGGCCGCCATTAAGCGTTTGCGTGCCTCCTGCCTCTGTTTCTCGGTGCTCTCGAGTGAGCGGTCCCGGGCCAGGGGTGGGTGAGCCTTCGGGGGTTTCTTTGGCACGGGGGGAGGTAACCTCCTCTCCTGGACACAGAGCACAAACAGTCAGTTAACCGTCCCTAACAGAGAGCGGAGAGAGACGGAGAGTCAGAGAGAGAAAGAGAGAGAGCAGGCCTGGGCGATAAAAGTATAACAAGAGTTATCATTTTTTTTTCCATATCCATAATTCAAATTTGTATTTGTATGCTCTTTGTACAAACATTGGTAGACACCTTCTTCTAAAATCAAGGGTGTTACTATAGTGCTTGTTCCCTCTTTGCCGCAGTAACAGCCTCTAGTCTCATGTAAAAGCTATACACTAGATCCTGGAACATTGCTGTGAGGATCTGATTGCATTCAAGAGAAGACAAAGTTTGCCCTCACAGGTAGAGAGGATTGATTCTGTAGTTTTGCCCCTCGTCTTTGTTTGAGTGTTGGGAATTTGCTCACGATTGACAACAAACATTAAGTGTTGACTGACTTTTGCAATCGAACTATGTCTAGATCTCTTATGCTTTGGCTAGATGATGAACACAGTTAGTGCCAGAACGTTAGCAGGACGTATGCTATCATCAAGCTAACACTAAATAACTCCATCAAACATGGATTAGTAGCTGTTACTCACTATTGATGGTGTAGTTCGGCAGCTCAGATGTTAAGAAGAGCCATTTTGTCCTTTCAGCAAAACTCAAACCACCTTGGCAGCCACAATATTTTATGTCCATATTACCATCTTGGCTGTAAATGTGTCTCAGTATGTGCTGATGTCCCAGTGTAGGCTAACAAATTCAATATAAATGAAAACGTTGACTTACTTGGCTCTGCTTTAAGCTTTAGCTCAGCTATAGTCTCTTTTCTCGCATCTCTGGCAGGAAACTTTTCCAAAAGTAGAACAGTTTCTTGTAGAATGTCTCTCAACATTAGTTTGTTTCAGCTTCTCATTCATCAGCTTCTTGTTCGAATTTTCCTGTTCCACCTTAAATGGTGCAGCAGGCACCATTCAAACGAATGGTGGCAGATTCTCTTTGCATATTAAACATATCAGGAAACCAGCTGGAGTGATTATAAATGCAAATAAGTCAATTTGTCACCAAATTATGTTATTATGTTCATCTTAAATGTTTCTCTTTCCCATTTCGTTGGCTACTAGCTAGGTGTCTGTGTTGCTATGGTGACCAGCAGTCTGCACACCAATCGTCAGAGTTAAAGGGTGAATTAACAGGTAAAGGGTGGAAATAAAGGGTGGAGTCAAAAGTTTATGCGAACTGCAGTCAACAAGCGAGGGAACTAGCAAGTGCACTGAGAAAGGGTTAAGGCTGACATTATCCCGCGACTGAGGTTATATTCTGCTGTCCTTCGTGGTCTTAAATATTAATAAAGTGTTTCAAAAATGTTTCAAGATTTGTTCCAAGCTACTTATTAGCCCAATTTTAGTAAGTCATTTTTTTCTATTTAGGATTATGTCTTTTCATACAAACATGCTAGGCTACTAATTTAATGTCAGCTAGTTAGCAAAAGCCACCATCAATAATTACTTTAGCTGCTTCGTTTACAACTTTGGAGCAGGAATATGTTTTGAATAAAGCACATAAACATATGACCCTTCACACAATGCATTTCAATGAAGTGGTCAAAAAGTAGATTTTTTTTAATTTGTTACATGGAAACTTGTTAAAAAAGATGGTTCTTTAAGGGTTCCTTAGCATAGGTCCATGGTAAAGTGTTTTTTTCAGAATGATGGAGAACGTCTTGTATATGGTTCTGTATAGCACCACATATAACACATTCTCCATCATCCTGAAAAAAAAAAAAAATAAAAATTTCACCATGTAAATAACTATTTAAGCATGAAATGGTTCTATACACAACTCATGGTTCTAAGAACCAATCCCCCTATCAAAGAACCCTTGAAGAACCATTTTTCTTAAGTATACCTGTTCATCATAATTTAGTGTGTATTTCGTCTTAAAATTTTTGTATTGTTTTATGCAAATTAGCAAAGATACTAACTTAACGTAATAATAACGTGATGTTATTCATGATAACACACGACCTCGAGTGTTCTATTAGTTACTATTATGTAAGAAATATATAAATTGGGCTGTGAATGCGGCATTTAATATGTTTTAATGTTCGCAGTTCCTTCCAACAAATTATAGTTCCTTAACAAGCAGCTTGTTGCTACGTCAGGGTAATGAACTCCGCCCACTCGCTGCACAGCCGGCAGTTCGTTCTCCAGCTCCTTACACTAAATTCCCAAACTGTCATCACCACTGAGCAGCTTTTCAGTCGGCAGCTGTGACAGAAGAACAGCTAAACAACCTGGAATCAGCCAGAAATGAACCAAATACCATTCACCGAACGTGTAGTCTGATCTGCAGAATCTGACCAAATCAGACTGAGCCAAAAAACTGCCGCAATATCAAGTTTAGCTCGGTTTTGTCAGTTTTTGCCAGATCAGTATTAATGTTGTTTTGTTCCAGCCAGTCTGTAAAACATCTTACAGCCCGTTTAGTTTGGCGAATGGTGTTGGGTTCATTTCTGGCTGATTCCAGGTTGTTTAGCTGTTCTTCTGTCTCAGCTGCCGAGTGAAAAGCTGCTCAGTGGTGAGACAGTTTGGGAATTTAGTGTCGTCTCATCTTCAGAGTCCGACCAAATCGGCTGTCGGTCAAATGTGATCTTAAAAGTGTCCATTTTCTGTTTGTGGCAAAGTAAGAAGTAAAAACATTAAAATGACCTGAGCATCTCCTACAGCTGTCAAAGTCGTTGCTTAGCAACAGCGTCTCAGCGGAGTGATACAGTGTTTGTGAAAAAAGAACGCTTCTCAACCAATCAGCTTGCGTGGCCGGAACTAACTGTTGTATAACCTTGTTTATCATAGTTCATCTTGTCTGGTTATAACTTTAGAGCTGGAATACATCTTGAATGAAGCAGGTCAATCTAAAATCTGTTCACTGCAAACTGCCTCTGACTGAGCACACGATGCACTGGAGTTTTTAAACACTGTGTCCACTCACTGTCCACTCTATCAGACACACCTACTATGCTGGTCCACCTTGTAGATGTAAAGCCAGAGACGATAGCTCATCTGCTGCTGCACAGTTTGTGTTGGTCTACCTCTAGTCCTTCATCAGTGGTCACAGGATGCTGCCCACAGGACGCTGTTGGCTGGATATTTTTGGTTGGTGGACTGTTCTCAGTCCAGCAGTGACACTGAGGTGTTTGAAAATTCCAGCAGCACTGCTGTGTCTGATCCACTCAGACCAGTGCAACACACACTAACACAGCACCACCATGTCAGTTTCGCTGCAATGCTGAGAATGACCCACCACCCAAATAGTACCTGCTCTGTGGTGGTCCTGTGGGGGTCCCGACCACTAAAGAACAGGGTAAAAGGGGGCTAACAAAGTATCAGAGAAACAGATGGACTACAGTCTGTAACTGTAGAACTACAAAGTGCACCTATATAGTAAGTGGAGCTGATAAAATGGACAATGAGCCTAGAAACAAGGACGTGGTCATAATGTTATGGCTGATTGGTTTATTAAATGATATGGAAAAATAGACTGTAAGAAGATTTTTGGCTGTATCGCCCAGCCCTAACAGACAGAGACAGAGAGAAAGCGACCGAGACGTGGCACACCTGCACACACATAGCGTTACGGCCAGCCGCGGCTAGGGCTAGCCCGCGGCCGCGTGTGTGGGGGAGGGAGCAGCCCGGCGAGGGTTTAGGGACGAGTTCGGGGTCGGGGGGGGTCTGCGGTGCCCCCCCCTCAGTGATGAGTGCCTGGATGGAATGACTTCTGAAAACAGCTCACTGTCAAACAAACAAAACACGGAGAGGATGTCAGCAAATCAAGAGTGAATGAGAAAAAAAAACAAAACAAAAACATTTACAGCCATGAGAATCAGAATGACCAACAAGACTAACTTTACTAACATCGACATGGTCGACAGGCAAAGGCAGAGCAGCAACGGCAAACATTCACCCATCGAACGGTCAGTCTCCACAGCAAAGAACAATGATTTTCATGAAGGTCTTATCTAAAGCGAAAGTTTAGTGAAAAATCAAATATACATAATTTCCCCTTACCCCACATGTAGTCAATCGGCAGTCAAGACACGTTTGGTATCTGTACGTGTTGTACTGGAGCCATGCAGCTAAGGTAGCTAATAAGGAACAGAGGCTTATTCCTCACCAATTAGCACTGAGCAAACTGCTCTCATCATACTAACACTACCCTGAACCTATGGTTAAATCGGCATTACGGAGTTTAGTATGTTATTTGTTGTATTATGTTGTTCTGAAGTGCAGCATTGTATCTGTCAGCCTCAACTGATTGACAGATTTCACAATTTTATAGCATTTTCATGTTCTCTCACTCCAATATCTAGCATGCATCAACTAATACTGACTGCTAGCCTAGTTACAAATCTATAAGTCAATAAATACAACCAAACTACACTTGTAAAAAAGATGGTTCTTCAATGGTTAAAGGGTTTTTTTGCATCATGAATGTATTTTTAGATTGATAGAGAATGTGCTGTCGATGGTTCTATACAGAATCTTTTCAAAAAGGGTTTTATTGTTATGCTATTGTTATGATTCAAGCTTATAGGAATAGCAGAACCCTTTTTGGTGCAACACAGAATCCTTTTTAAAAAGGTTTTATATAAAACCACATACATTCTCAGTCTGAAGAACCGTTTCATGATGCAAAGAACACTATAATCATGCAAAGGGTTCATTGAGTGTTCATGGTATATAGAACCTTTTTCTCTACTACAGAACCCTTGAAGAACCATGTTCTTTTAAAAAAGTGTAACATTAACTCTTACTAGGGTCATCTAAAAATTTTATCTGTATTTAGTACAAAATTGATGCATGAGACGAAGTTTTTCACCATTTCAGCCAGAAAAAATATGTCAAAAATGAGGTAAAGTATCTAGATAGCTAGGTAGCTACTCTGAAAACTTTAGCTTTTAGCTTCTTGTCCTCTTTATCTCATAAGTTATTCCTATCATTTGAGTACTGCATTCTAATTTCAATTATTATTAAAAGACAATTTTATTATTGCTAATGTTGTTAACAGTTTTACGGCTGCAATAAGATATTCTCCCTTCCTTCTGCATTCACCACCAAAGATGATAGATAAATAAATAAATATATCAAAAAAAGCCCAAAAATCCACTGCAATGCATATGTAGTTTTTGCAAATGTTCCTCCCACCTTCAAGATACATCATCATAAAGAACGGTGTGGGGGGCGGGGTCTAGGCTTAAACTAGAAAATCTTACTCTTGATACTACTCCTAACAGATTTAGCAATGACTGAGCTTTTCATTTTGGCCTGAGTGTAATAAATAATCCCAACAATCTCATTAATATCAATCTCAAATAGACTTGCTTGTGATGTTTCTAGCACTGTATGACAACAAGTTATGCATAGAAATGGACAAAAGCACCTCACATAGTTAAAAACAGTAGTAGAACCCATCTTAAACACCATTTTATCCGTACTTGTGTTCAGTTTCATAGACAACTGTTCATCATACAGTATAATAAACCACATTTGCAAGTCAAGCAAGTCGATGATTCAGATGAGAAGTTTGTATGATTCAAATTGAGGTTAGTTTCCATTAGCTGGTGGCTACATTAGCCTCATAGCTCCAGTGCAAAACTAAAAAAAGCTCATTTTGGACACCTTGGCCTGCCGGACTACGTTTGAGGTAAGGGGGAAACTGTAAAACTGATTTGTCATCAAACTGTCGCTTTGAGAGGATATGCCAAGACTTGCTCAGCTTCTGACCAGCAATGACGTCAAAGCACAGTAATACAGTACGATGTAGTATGTTGTGACTGCACATAAAGCTCGGTGTTGCCAAGCCCCTTAACACTGAATGCAAATGTTCAAATCAACCCAACACTGCGATACTAAAGCATGCACATGAATAAATAAAGTCATGTAGTTTCCCTGCACCCTTTGGCATAATGACCATGACTTTTCTCTTTTCCCCTGGGCTGGACTTTTCTCTTTTCCCCTGGGCTGAGTTCATTGTACCTTTCTCTCAGGGGGGTCGAGGGGTCTCCAGTTGTTGGCTTTGAGTTGGTGCAGCTCGTCGAACTTCAGGCTGATGTTTTCGATGGACAGCTGTAGCATGTCCCAGAAACCAGCCAGGTCTTGCGCCACAGGCCGAGGGTGAGCGTTAGGGTTCTGGAGGACCAGGAAAGGGACACAAAGGGAGATATACAGTTAAATACACTGGGCCAGAGCAGAGCAAATAGCGCTGTGGTGATACATTTCTTCATTCATAAACAAGGATTACTGGCTTGCTTTAGGGCTTCAGTGATACGAGGCACTAAAGATGGTCACAAGTTGATTTTTGAGTCTTGGGTCTCTGGGGAGCAAGTCTGAGTCAAGTCTTGAATTTTTAGGCTGCGAGTTCGAGTCAAAGGCCCAATTCTATTTTTTATTTTTACCCTACCCCTTGTTTTGAGTGTCACCTTGTGGTTGAAATCCTACCCTTTGAAATGGGACACATAAAAAGAACATTACTTCATTAACAGCTACTAGCACTGCTCTGTAGGCGACCCTGCCAGTCTGCAGTGACAGCAGAGGAGGGTAAAGTTCAGCTCCTCACTGCTGGGCTTTAGTTACATTTAGGGAATCATATGCCTTCAGAGAGGGGGATACGACAGTTATTTATTATCACCCACCCCTAATTCTTCAGTCATATGAAGCTGAAGTCAGCTGTTCACCAGCTTCTCATTCAAATTTTTCCCATTTCACCTTAAATTCACCATTTAAGGTGTAACAAGAAATTTAGCTAGCTACCTACCGAGACATCAGCTTATTACTAGCGATTTTTTTCTGCTTATTATGAAGAAAAGGACCATAATACATTCAAACGACAGCGGAATAAGATAATACGATGGTTACTGTTATTTTTAATAACAGTAAAGTATTTTTAATCATTGTTCTACTTTTCTGATTTTTGTTTTTCTTTAACATCAGATGTTCTGTGTGGCACCCAAACAGACGCTGAGTGTTGGCCAGGAATATGCATTTCCTTGTTAGCATCCCTATTCTTTTATGACTGAATATACCACGGAGGTAATGAGAGATTACTCCTGAGTTTTACTGAATCCGGCCCGCTGCCCACTAAGCTTGGGCTGAGTGATGACAGTATCGCAAATCGATAGTAGATTGCAAGACGATTGACTTTAATGTCAGAAAACATGCTGTTCATGGCTTTTGTCTTATAATCTGTATTTTCCTTGTACAGGCCGATATTAGATGTATTCTGGTTCCAGGTTACGAGTTGTAATAGCATAATAACAATAATAGTCAATAAGAAGTTAGGTTGCAGGCTACTGTTAACATGGTAAGCTTCAGCCATATCAGTTTAAGAAAACAGATGTAAAAGTGTGGTTCACTAAACCTGCAGCAAAAACTGAACAAGAACAAAGTTCAAAGTTTCAAAGCTGAAAAAAAAATACTATCGTGTTTGTTTACTCCAGTTTTAGCAGGCAGTGCAGTGCTGAAACAAGGTATTGGAGGAAGATACCACAAATACTGATTGAGAAGTTTCTGAGACTGTAGGTTAGGATTAGGAGCAGCCATGGTGCGCTGGTGGTGCACGTACATAGATATTGTCTAATGATATTAACCAGGAAAGTGTCTCTCTTATTTTTTATTTATTTATTTCTTTATTTGGAAAGCCGTAACACTAAAAAAGTCCTATTCGTCAACTGATGATCGCCAGGGGGTGGAACTGGATAACGGGACATTGCACAGAACAAGCCTACTGATCACACTGCATCACTGACCGAATAATCGGTTACTCGGATTATGAATCGCTACATTACCAAATGACTTTTATGTAGTTTTTAGCTTTTAAATTTAGCTTGGGATTGTTTTATATATTTGCTAACTAACAGTGAAGACAATAAAGATGAATAACATTCAGCAATTCACTGTTTTAATGAACTTTTTTTTGCTAATACAGAAAGAAAAAAAACTCCAATATATTTTTCCTGTCAAAATTTATAATGAAGGATGTGCAAAGTAGCAGCAATAAAATATAACAAAACTAAATCAGTTTTTCTTTAATCAAATACATTTAAATCTAAATTTAAATGTTAAATGTAAACAGTGCAGTCTGTGATCTGTGCATTCTGTTGTCTGTCTACACTTTGCTGCAACTACATTGTAGAATCACAGGTCTTTATTGAAACAGAGGAAAGTCAGCGTCTCTCCGTGCTCCTGTGGGAGTCTCGCTCTCCTCTGAGAGCAGATACTCCCCGCTGGACAGAAGATGCACTCTGATGGAGCGGATGGGAAAGTGGCGAACGTTTGTGGAAAACTTGTTCTCTATAAACAGTTAAATTTGAACGATTTTAGTCTAAACATTTCATTTTAATGGTGACCCTTTGTCCAGCTACCCTGTGTGTTCACGGAGAGCTACCTCCTTAAACTGTAGGGAGTGGAGCTAAACGTTCGCAGAGAACAGAAACCTGTGTGTAAATGATCTCCTGTGTTCGCCGAAACTGAATGCACCGGTAGCCTCGACGCTAAGACGATGATGCAGTGTTTAAAACTGTAACCGTTATTATGCTAGTATGCGGTTTGGAACGCAGCATATCTTCCCAAGATATGTTCTTCATCCAGTGAGCTGACAAGTTTCCTCTTCAGATGCTACACTACAGAGGATGGGCTCCCATGCCAGCTAAGGTCGGCTTACAAAAAGCACAACTGACAACCTTTTTTTTCCAAGTTTAGCTCCGCACTTTTGAGGATTTTGTTCTTGAGGCAGCCATCGCGCTGCTGGTAACTCTCCAGTGAGCGGCAATGTCAAAACTCTCCTAGTGAGCGAGAGAAAGACGCGTAATGACGTCACCAACTAATCGACTACTAAATTAGTTGCCAACTAATTTGGTCGTCGATTTTAGTCGACTAAGTCGAATAATCGTTGCACCCCTATTTCTGTGCATTTGGCAGTGGGGCTCACTCACCAGGTTCTCCTCACACAGCTCTCGAAACTGTTGAAACTTCTGAGACATCAGCAGCTGGGCACTACCGACCGCGCTCCGAATCTTCCCCAGGACTGCTCCACACACACACACACACACACACACACACACACATACAAACACACACACACACACACACGTACAAACACACGCACACACACACACACACACACACAAACACACACACAAACACACACACACACACACACACACACAAACACACACACACACACACACACACGCACAAACACACACACACACACACACACACACACACAAACACACACTATAATTAACTGCATAATTATCTACAATAATATGGATATATATATATATATATATCATATTATATATATATATATATATATATATATATATATATATATATATATATATATATAAATGTGTACACAATTAAATTGTAATTGCAATTGCATATTTTTTGTGGTTTTTCATGATTACATTTAGAACGATATAATTAAGCAAATGTAATTGTGTATGTAAATAAATCATTTTTTTAGCAAAACAACATTAATACCTATGGACTTTTAAAGGGTTAAAGCAGATATAACTGTATGCAAAAGTTTGGGCGCCCAGTAAAATGACTTTCTGTTTATTTTTCTAAGAGAAAATAAATTGACAGTCTCTACAGAAAACACACTTCTGCATATTTTAAAGCACATTTACTGTTTCAGCTGATTTGCTGAATTTAACATATTGGAAAACAAAAATAAAACATACAATGTGGCTGTGCAAAATGTATTAATATTTTGCATTTTATGTTTTATTTATTCCAATATAAAACTATGCACTAAAAGTTGCAGGAAAAAGTCATATTTAAGTCTTTACCCCGTACAAGATGTGTTATTATTTTCACTTAAACATGTCATTTGACTGGGGGTCTTCAAACCTTTGCTTTTAACTGTAACTATAAGTACTGCAAAGAGTAACTGACAAAGTCACAATGTGGATTTTTATTGTTAATGTGTTGTGTATTGTAAGTGTTCTATGTACACAGTCATTCTGACAGACTGTAATTCACTACAGGAAACATAGGGGGCGATAAAGCTTCAAATGTTTCGCGACACCACCAAAGAAGAAATTGCTCGTCACACAAACGGGATGAAAAGGAGAGGAACTAAAGAAGGTATGGTTAGTCAGTTAATTAATATGTAATTATTGATTATGTAAATATTTGGTAGCTGCAGCTCTACTAACTAGGAAGCGCTTTGCGTGTTATAAGACTCACTCTCGTCAGGCAACTCGTTCTCACGCTCATCGTGCTCCATCTGCCGGCACCAGCCCTCCATACGCTCGGTTTCGGCCTGAAGCAGCTTGAGGAACCAGCGGCCGTCCCGCTGGCACACCGAGCGGCTGACCACTTCCAGGGGATCCTCCGTCACGCTGTCGATCCAGGGGTCTGGTGGGGGGAGGATGGAGGGGTCGAAACCCACATCCTCATAGTCATCAGAGGTGCAAGCATGGTAGTGGTTCCCTGAGCCCTGGATGCTGACTGTGGAAGTGGCCGCGTCTCGAGAGTACTGCCGGGACAGGCAGCCTGAGGGCAGGATGTTTGCGTCTGGAGAATCAGCCGGGGAGTAATCTGGGGTGTCCAGGTCTGCCTGCACTGCCGCCGTTACGCTGTTGGAGCGCGTGAACCGCCGATGACTAGAAAAAATTAAAAAACAACATTAATTCTCAGCATATTCAGACATTTGTGAGGTCAGTTAGATTTTTCTGACATCATTTATTCTCTTTACTAAACCTTGAAAAGCAATGAACACAGCATCTTATTGTTGGGTGCTTTAACTGCGGTAAAACTACATCCTAAGTACATCACTGTAAGACCCCTTTTCGACAGCAGAAAATTGGCTAATGTCAATGTATCTGGGCAATATCGTAAAACAAATTATAACAGTATTTTCTTGTTTACATGATTACATATTACATTACCACATGTACCAGTTTTCTTCATTTCAGTAACACACATGCATGTGCGTGTGCTCCACTGTAAGTATGCTGGTGCAATATGGCTGCCGCATTACATGGGTTTTTCCTTTGTTTTGTATTGTTTGTGGGTATGTTTTGATGTTTTCCCTGCTGGCTGAGGAGTTTGCAATCATATCCACTGAGATAGTGGCTGAGAGCGGTTTTCCAGCTGTGGCTCAGAGGCTTCTTGGGCTGGCCGTTTGAGTGACGCTACATCACAGCTATAATGCAGCGTGGACCGGCTGCTTGAGTGATGCTGTATCACAGCTAAGAGGCTCTCTGGACTGGGGACCTGATCGACGTGACATTGCAGCCTGGGCTGGCTGCTTGGTTGACGCTGCATTGCAGGTGTGGGGCTGCTTGGACCGTAGTGTTTGGCTGCTTGAACAGCGCTACGCCGCAGCTACGAGGCCTGCGCTGCCACCTTGCAGCTATGAGGCTGCCTGGACTGGTGGTGTTCGGCTGCAGGAAAATGCTACCACTTTGTGGCTAAGGACATTTTTGGCCTTTGAGACTTCCTGGGCCGGCCTCTAAGCTAACCGAGTCTATACCGTGGTCAGTGAAATCCCCCCCACTAGCTGTGGGAACCGTGGAGGTGTGTGTGTGTTCTGTGTTATGTTTTGTTGATTATGTATTTTGTTACTTTCTGACTGGAAAGTATTCTTGAGCATGGGAAATATATATATATATATATATCACACATATAATACATATACAGAAGTGATGATGATTATGATGATGCACAAATGTTACTTATTGCTAACAGCGCCCCCTCATGGTGAATCATCAACCTGCTAAACACAAGCAAGGCTCATCAGGTGCTTCGCATGTAAAAAGCAACATCCAACTCCAAGACTGAAACATTTCAGGTCAGACAATTTGATTTTGACAGCAGAAACATTCTCATTGTTACCGATGCTTTGCAAAGTCAGTTTTGTGTGAAAACTAACACCATGACAAGACTGTAACACCTCTTCAATGTAATTCCATCCTGAAGAAACAGAAAGAGCTGGGAACGATCCAACCGTCTCAGCGAGCCAGAAAGAGTCCTATTCCAGAAAACAATAAACTTGGCACTTGTGTCATAAACAATAGAGATGAAGTGCCAGCACTGGAGCAGAGCCAGCTACAGCTTTTCCCAGCTACAGTGAGCAAGCACAGGGACCTCCATCCTACAGGGATGCCAAATATGGACGATATGGGCAAAATATATGATTATAATATTGCCACACAGTGATCTTGACATGCCTCACGATATATTAAAATAAGTAAAATTATTTTTTTACTATGGGATGTATTTTTAAATTAAGTAAAATTGTTCAAAAATGTTTTAATGAATGTTCTAATATACTTACAATTTCAAAATGAGAAATATTTGACATTTTGTCTATATATAAGATACTTTCACTTGCCAAGATACCAATTTGTAGCAGTGAAAAAGTTATAAAGTACCTGAAAGGTGAATAAGCTCGTGCTTTGTCCGTGTGGTTTACCTATGACTAATCAAAGTTTCTAAAAGTGCAGACGGTATGGGTAAGCTCGGTGGGACTGGGGCGGGGGCTAAAATTAAGTCCCAGTATAGCAGCAGCAGAACCCAGGGCAGTACTGTAATTACTGACATTTCAGCTGAGAACACTGTACAGCAAAGACCACCTGTGAGTCAGCATTATGATTCATCACACTGCCATGCATTTAGTGGGGTCACTAACCAAACACACACACACACACACACACACACACACACACACACACACACACACACACACACAGGTTTATTTTTACACAATGTCAGGAATCGGGGTCATATATAGACTCCATTTGCAAGTACCTAGATGTAATACTAACATGCTCCCTATGTATCATATATCTGCTAGCACTTACATAATGCATATATAAAATCTATGTGTCCCATACTGTCATATGAAAATGTTTCCTCAATCAAATACATGTTTTAAGGTTTTCTAAGTGAAACTAACGCATACTGTACCGGGAAAAAACTTGGCATTTTTGTGTATATTAATAAATATGCCATACTTTTTGCACAGGCCATATATAGATATATTTCGCTGTTGTTGGAAGAAAACCTCGTATCTCCAAAAAGGTAACTTTACAGGAAAAGGAAAAAAACCTACTTTACTTTTAATGTAAGTCAATGGAACCAGACCGTTTTCCCAAGTCATTTTGGGCCGTTTCCTTTGTGGCCTATTCATCATAAAATTTACAAACACAATGTAAAGAATAAGAGGCCTTTTCAAAATATGTCAAAAACTGAAAAACGACAAAAAATGGAGATATATATATATACACACCCCACACACACACACACACACATACACACACATGCACTTCACAAAATAAAAGTAATCTGAGATATTTAGATTTAAAAAGTTCATCTGGACAGTAAGCATTTCTACAAACAGTATTAATACAGTAAGTGCTAATTTTACGTCTGTCAACATTTTCCATTTAAGCCTTTCCAAACTTCTCTTTGAGGAAGTTTTATTTGTAGTTATCCAATACCTGGTTTGGCTAATTAGTGCTTCATTATATTAACTCAAGCGCGCTGTTGATGGAATTTAACAAATCCATGTGATGGCTGGGGGCATCGAGGAGAAATATAGGCAATGATAGTAGGTTTCATGTGTATTACACATGTAAGCATCTATAAGCATCTATATGTAATGCAAAGTTCCATATGTATTGAATATTTACAAATGTTTACGTATCAAAAAGATTTTTTACAAGCCTAATACCAAACCTAATCCTGACCTTAAACTGGTTTGCTTTTGTGGTTTAAAAAAAATAAACATGAAGCTTTTACTAAAAGCACTTTACAAAGTCAGGAGCATTTTGTCCACACACACACACACACACACACACACTCTCACACACACATTCACTCCTCGGTGTGTGTGCAGAGTATGAGGGAAAATGTCAGAGAGCTACACAGAGGGAAACACAGTACCACAGCAGACTGCTTTTACTACCTGGGGCGTACACAAGTGCTGGACAAACAGCTGCTTAATACACAGAACACTTGATTTTTATATTCATGTAATAATATTCATTATTAAAAAGAAAACAAATAGTTTTTAGCTGTGGTGATGGTGATGAGTGCTAAACTGTTTAGTTTCTCAACAACATCAGCTTAGTACGAACAGCCAACATTAGCTGGCTCGGTATGTCAATGACGGATCACAGTATTCAAACACAAGCTAGCAGACATTTGGATTTCTCTATGCTGTTGTAGTTTTAAGGGGACAGAACCACAATATATCTGACGCTTGCTGTGTAAAAGCTTTAACTGCAGTGAAATTTTCTTGCACTAGACAAACAATGTCTTCCTTGTAGGTACGTTTACACTGAAATCGGTGTTTTTTTGTCTTGTTTTATCTACAGGAACATCAATTTGGCAGTGCTGTGCGAGTGACAGAGCGCTGCTTCAAGTTAGCCAGCGTTCTCCCGCTCCTTAGTGCCACACACAGGATTTTCAGTTTACTTTAATTTAAATCAGGGCTGTATCTTGCATGAACCCACTTCTTTGTTTCACTTGTGTTGCTTGGGAATGCACTAATAGTAAAATATGACTAAGCGCTGTAACAGTGCTGTACTTGTGAGAAGCAGACGTGATTTAACGCTGCTAAAGCTTGCTAGGATGCTAGGAAAGAGGTGAGGTTGCTCTGGGCCAGTACAGTTATGCCACGTATCTCGTCACTCACACTAGGTCACAGGAGAACAGACTGCCGATCACTCCACTCAAACAGGGCACGTCTAACTCCACGTTTCAAACACGGCCGAAGTATATTTGGCGACTCATTTTACTCGTCGCTCCCTCCCTCTCTAATCATGTCGAAAAAACGGAAGGCGCCCTCTTGTGGTGACAGCAGAGTAGTGTCGCTTTCCTGGCAGTAGAAAACGCAACCAGGGCTGTCGCTAGAATGCAGAAGTGTGAGAATGGTCTAACATTTATCAAACATTTCTTATATTTCTATCAAGGAAAGTTATATATAATTATTGTTATCGTTTTATCGCCCAGCCCTAAGCATAACTATACATATATCTTTATTTCGGTATTACAACACTAGCAACTTTCCTAGCACCAGTGCTACATGCTGAAAAAGTTTAAGCACAGCCCTGACGGTTATGTATACACACACTAAACGTGTGACAATTTCAATACATACAGCAAATTTAAAACTGTACTGAAACTGTAGTGTATCGAAATTTTAAATTGTATGGCCTACATGCCCCTTGATCTCTCCTAAGGGTCTCATGTATCATCTTCTGTGGGAATCACCGTTATCGAGGCATCTAGGTGCATCCAATCAGAATAAAGCTCGCAGGAAGGGGGAGGGTCATACATTGTCAATGCATCCACGCTCTGATGTTCCTCTACAGGAGACTAACTTAAATGTGGCTATCCATTCGCATACTACATAACATATAACGGAAAAAAAACAAAAATATTGAGATATATAAATATAAAACATGCCATAGCTTTTGCACCGTTTTATTTTCTTCCCAGTAATTTAAATTCAGCAAATAAACAGTAATCGTGCATTAAAATGTACAGAGGTGTGTTCTCACTCAAACAACTGGGCTCTCTGGTCAAAGCAGTGGTTCTAGATAGAAACATGAACACCCAAAGAACCATTTGAATGCATAAATGATTCTTTGTGTGGTCAAACTGTTCTGCTCTGTGATGGTAAAACAATTGTATATGGTTCCTGGAAAAACAATTTCAAAAAAGGTTCTATATAGCACCAAAAATGGGTCCACTATTGTTACAAGTCAAAGAATCCAGCAGAAGAGTCCAGCAGAACTTACCTGTGTGGCCTAAACGTTTGTATATGACTGTAAAACAGCTTTTGTTTTTTTACATTTTTATGCCAGAAAAAAAAACATACCAATTTATTTTGGTCAAAAAATGTGTAAAAACATACCTTATTGAATATTATTATAATCAATTATAATCCATTCCAACATTCCAAAATGTATGCAGTTCAGAAACCGCCTTTATACTGACGCATAATCACACGTCAGTGCATTTTTACACACCTAACTGACACACAAACTAACTCACCTTCTCTCGTCCTCAACTTGGACTCCTACTGACTGGAACTTTGACTGGTCCTCTGCTTCCTGATCTTCTGGGCCGTCCACCTGTTTTACACAACACACCAGCTCTATCACTAGGGGTACATCATGGACAGATACTATAAAGATAAAAGCCTTATCTCCTTCTGTGTCAGGACAGAGAAAGCCACCTGGATCTGTAACAGACACTCCGAGGCACAAATATAAAGAAGTTTAGTCACTTTGTCAGATGCAGCATCCAAACGCGTCTGTTAAAGCGCTCCCAACATTTCTCTCAATCCAGAGTTTCAGAGTGTCGGTTTAAGGAACTGATAGAACTGACAGTACAGAAAAGCAATGCTTTATGTCTGTAGCTGCCATTATAATCACCCCCTTAATCAGCCTGTGGGATCTCACTCTTCGGACTGACTTTACTTGACTGCTAATACTCTCCCAGTGCAGAGGATAGAGACAAAGTTTTACCACCAAGAAAGAGTGAATGGTTGAGAGACTTTTTAAAAGCATCACTCGTTTTACAGTTTGGGAAGTGTTTAATATGGATACGCATGCTAGGACACTGGCAAGTAGCAAAACCAGGTCATCTGCCTGGAAAATCTTGGTGACATGTATCTGGAAGATACTTAAATTGGACCAGACCAACTCTGAGTCAGAGCGCCGCTGAGTTTGGTTAAAAGAAATGTAGGTAATTCAGCCTGTAATTTTTTTCAGGGGAGACTGGAGGGAAAAAAGCACTGACATGGCCAATCCATATGGAAATAAAATCACAGAATAGCACCTGGACAAAGGACACTCCAGGACCTCAAGCAAACTTAATCCTTACCGGTAACACTTTCTATGAATGTCGCATTTGTAAGCATCTATAAACACATTTATAACATGTTATAATGTATTCATAAGGCATTATAAACATGGTTATAAGTATTCATAAAAAAGAATTACACTGAATTACACTTTATAGCCATGTTTATTATACATTATGAATTGTTAATATAATGCATTATAAATAGTGTTAATAACATGTTATACTGTCAGTGCCAAAGAAGTCAGTCCCAGCTTGGAGAGTGTAAAGTAAAGACAAATACCAAGCTAACGGTGGTGTACATTACCTTTCCCACATTGGGTAAAACACTGATGGCAGCACTAGTTTAAACTCTGCCATTTGAAGCCTGTAATGTGCTTTACTGTGAATGTTTTAGTGTTTCAGTAAATCCTTCAGTAAATCCTTCAACTTGAAGCCTCACTCTTAACACTGGAGGAGGCTTTAGTACAGTACGCTTCACTTTACTTAGAGCGGACAAATACCACTTATGAGCTCTTATAATTTGTTATGATCAGTCCTTATAATGTATTATGTTAACAATTCATAATGCATAATAAACATGGCTATAACGTATAATGCATTTTTATAAATATTTATAGCTATGTTTATAATGCCTTATGAATGCATTATAACATGTTATGAATGTGTTTATAGATGCTTACAAAGGTGACATTCATAGAAAGTGTTACCTCCTTACCCATTTCACCAACACCATCACAACCCAATTTTTAGTTCACTTTTGAATGTATAGAATCCTTTCATGTGTGTTGTAGATAAACTGTCTAAGTTCTGTGGTAATATTCATTTCATTGTTGAGTTTTGTTTGAAATGGGAGGGTTAAAATCTGGAAACAGCCTAAGGAAATTTTCCTCCATGGTGTATAGGTAGAAACAGCCAAGCCAGCTGTCCCATCCTTTAGGACTTCAGGAGCTGGACAGAAAGCCTTATACGTCAATTAATCAACAACATGATTAGAAAGTGACAGACGATGATATGTTTATGTCTGTTCAAGTTTAAGATAAAATACATGGAATATCTTTAACAAGTTTCATGTATTTATATTTAAAGTAAGGCTGCCAAAAAATACTCTTGTCAATCTCTGCTAGCTTACCGCTAACATAACATTAAAACACGTATAGGAGAAATTATCATTTTGAAAGATGTGGTAATGTGACAAACAAAGGCTACTTATGAAATGAGTTAACAGGTTTATGGGCTAAACACTGGTATGTAATGACATTTCACTCATTCCCATTGCCTAACTATGGAAACTCTTTTGAAATCTCGACTTCTGCTCTTGAATATGTGCAATAGAAAGTGACTTGGCATTCAGCCGAGGCTACACAACTCCCTTTTTTCACATTTATTGCACTATTTAGGTGTAGAAGGTGTAATTTAATTAGTTGCATAATTCCCTACATAAATGACAGCCATTTGATATTTATCCATAGACACGTTTAATGGCCCTAATTATGACACCCCTAAATCTCACCTGGATGCCGATGGACAGGCAGCGGCCTTTGCGCAGGACATCTCTGTGGCTGTCTTCCAACGTGGGCACTGGGATGGGCACTGGGACAGGTAGTGGGAGGGGCATGGGTAGGGGCACGGAGGTACTCATGCTGCTGTCGACATGCTGGCTGGCCGGGCCATGGACTTGCGCGTTAGCCGCCTCGATGGCCGCGGTCAGAGCCTTCATGCTGTCGATGCTTTCGGTGGAATTGCTGAGGCCTGAGTGCAGTGTGACTTCGCCCCGGTGACCCGGGCCGTCCATGTAGGCGTCCTGCGCCGACTCGGTGCTGCTCTGGGCTGTGATGCTGATGAAGGGCTTGGTGGAGGTGCGTGGGGGCACGGGGGGAGGAGTCTTCTTATAGGTGGTGATACATGACGACACTGCAGCAAAACACAGGCAGTAATGAGATTAGACAGGCAGGTTTATACAGTATGTTAATATAGCAAAAAAAACATGCAAGGCAATAATAAACAATTCTCTTGTAAACCAGTGTTTGTTAACTGTAGTCTATGGTTACCAAGCAATATAATGGTGAAAGATTTTTTCATGACTGGCACAATGATTTTTAATAATGGCACCAACACAAAATTCAGTTGATGCATGCAGTCATATGTGTGTATGTCAAGTAATTTCCAACAGCTTCAAACATGGCTTAACCAATCAGATCTTAGAACTGCTGCTATCCGTTTTATAATAGTTGAACAACAAATGGTTGTTTTGGTCTCGTATCTCTGAATATCTCATATTTTATAAAACCTTAGAGGAGAAGAACAATAACATAACTGTTAAAGTAACTTAAAAACTATTCATATCTGTTTGTTCACTTTCCAAAAACGAGTATGTCCAAAAGAGTAATTTTACAGGAGAAGGCAGAAGCATTCATAACTTTTCATTTTCAAGTTCACGTAAAGACATTTTATGCCAAGTAATTTTGGTGCGTTTTACTGGTCCATTCTATGACACTTTATTAAGCTGATTTCGCTTGGACCCCGCAGATTACCGCTTGCAGCCATATGTATTATTACTACTGTGTAATATGGCCTTTTTTTTGCTCATCATAATATAAAGCTGTTAAAACGGTAGATATTTATGTGGTTTAAGCAGAACACCACCATAGCAGCTGCTGTTTGTAGACTCTCTCAGAAAACACATACTGTTTTGTTTTGAGCACAGCCTCTGTTTAAAGGCCTTCGCTGTACGGCGAGAGTAAAGCCTCATATCCCAAACTAAACATGAGCTAATCCAGATTGTCTGTGCAGTACAGCAAGTGTTAGCATGTGCACATCTGTGTGCACAACGATGGAAAAAGTCAGCCTTCTCCATTTGTCTACTGCAGTTACAGTGAAACACCCACAAGAGGGCAAGCTGGAGCAAGCCAGAATATAAAAATGACAGTCTCTCTCTCTCACTCTCTCTCCTCTCTCTCTCTCTCTCTCTCTCTCTCTCTCGCCTTATTCACTATTCTCTCTGTTCGTTCACACAAACCTAAATGCCACCATTCCTGGAACTGGGTCACTGCATAAATGAAGCAGTGGGTAGAAAAACACATGCAGACTCCCAGTTGAAGAAAGACAGGAAGAGTCCCTCACCATTCATTCACTATCACTCTGAAACACAAGGTTTAGCTGAGCTGCACACCATCCAAAAAGAGAAAAACCTAAATATAAAGGCACTCACGGCCGTGCATGACCAACACTTAGGGAACATGCCATTTGGATGTCCAAGCAACATGGTAAAAAGGACACACAATGATGCAACAGATGCAATGTTCACGGTATCCTGGATACAAATGCATCAACACACCCTCTAAATAATGACTTTCGTTACTTTAAGGACCAATAGAATAGGATGCTCTGGAGTGGCTGCACATAAGCCTAAGGTCACCATGCCCAATGCCAATCAGTCAGTGAGAAGGTTAACCCTTTAAATGGCCACGGCTATCAGAAGGCTCCAAGTTTTACTACACCCTTCTATAATCTAAAGACTATCTTAGTCAGTTTGCATTAAAGTACTTGTAAATACTGAATACTAAGTCTTAGTATGTAATAAGCCTGGATTTTAAGGGAGCCCTTAGCCCTCCGTATTGCACGTTCACATCTAGGGGTATGGTATCCTGATTTTTGCAGAGATAGAGAGGCAGGGTGAAATGTTAGAGCCACAAAGTGAGGTTTCCCAGAAACACACTCCAAACAGAGTGTTATGAGAAAAAAAAGAAAACAAACAAACAAAAAAACAGCAAGAAACCCACAAATGTAAGTATTTTCTCTGTTGAAATTATGAACATTGTATTATTCTAGTTCAATGTCACTTTAATGCATTATGGCCCTTTTTTTCATAACAAGCTTTTTTTTTTGGCGCTAATATTATGCTGACATCTCGGTTAGCTAGCTAAATTTCCCATTCCACCTTAAACGGTGCAGCAGTTTCACTCTGACACCTCAGCCATCAGAACTGCAACTCCACTGAAGGAGGAATGGGAAACCTTGAACAAGAAGCTGGCGAATAGCGACTTCAGCTTTAGATCACTGAAGAATTAGGGGTGGGTGATAATAAATAATTGCCCCCCACCCCTCTTTTTGAAGAGATATGATTTCCTAAATCTGACTAAAGCCCAGCAGTGAGGAGCTGAACTTTACCCTCCTCTGCTGTCACTGCAGACTGGCAGCGTCGCCTACAGAGCAGCGCTGGTAGCTGTTAATGAAGTGATGTTCTTTTTATTTGAGGGTCCCATTTCATAGACTTAAACCACTACCCTGTAACTCAGTTCCAAGGGGCAAGGTGACACTCGAAAACAAGGGGTAGGGGTAAAAATAAGAAATGGGACTGGGCCTACGAGAACAATTTTCTGTCTTCTTTAGAAAATGAAGAAAGCCTCAGCATGTGCTTGAACTGCCCTCGAGTTAAACAACACACACACACACACACACACACACACACACACACACACACACACACACAAACTCTCTATCTTGAAGTGGAGCTGTTTGGCTGTGTGGTTAAAATAAGGCTCTGGAGTGAGTCTAATGAGGTGAAGCCTGATAAGAGGGTCTCTCTACGGTCCAGTTCAGCAATGTGTGTGTGTGTGTGTATATATATATATAAGTGTGGGAGAGAGAGCAGTGTGTGTCTAACTGGCTCGCCCGGCAGTTCAGTTCACAGTTCAGCTCAATGTGCTCCAGTGTGTGCTGCAGAGATAAGACCAACACTCTCCATCAGCTCCACAGATTTCCCACAACCCCTCTCTCTCTCCCTTTCTTTGTCAGTCTCTTTCTGTCTCACTTTTTCTCTCTATAAGTTTCTCTAGCTCTGTCTCACTTCCTCCGTGTTATTCTCTCTCTCACTGTGTCTCTCTCTCACTTTTCCTCTGTTTCTGTCTCACTATCTCTCTCTTTCTCAATCTGTCTTGCTCTTGCTCTCTCTCTCTCACACACTTTTTTATCTCTTTCACTCTGGCTCTTTATCTTTTCTTTCTCTCCCACTTTCTTTCTTTTGCTCTCTTTCTCCCTCCTCTCTCACCTCTTTCCCTCTCTCTCTCTCTCTCTCTCTACCTTCCTCTTACTCTCTTCTCTCTCTCTTTAATCAGCCCTCTACACCCTCTACCTGAGTACGTACTGATATCACTGACAGCAGCAGCTGTGCAGCTATAATCACTCGCAGCTTTAAATTCGTCCACAGACGGCTTGTTGTTGTTGATTGCCTCTTTATCGTTGCCATTCGCTGCTGTCTCTGAGAAACAGAAGGATATGCTAGTTCCTCCAGATTTGCTCTCTCCTGCATGCTTACGGCTAACGCCCACATCACTCAACGAGACAGGGACATTTTCATCAACACGTCATAATGGCAACATCAAATCCAATTACAGTCAATAACAATAGCAGTGTCAGAAATAACCAGGAGCAAAGGACCTATGTTCATCATTTCTGTCCTTTAAGCCCTTTAAGCCCTTTTGTCTCTTTCAAAAATATGTTATACAGCTTTTTAAAGATTTACAATACAGGATACAATACGATTGTACAAAGATGTTTCATAGGCATACGAGAATTTTACCTCGCTCCCTGGGATGCGAAAAGGCTAACTTGTGGCTATTATTTACTGTATGCGTGAGTCCATTCTATACTATAATAAAAGCTAAACTATATATGTTTACTGTACATTTTTTGACATGCTTATATTTAATAAAAGTGAGAATGTTCCCAGAAAAAAATCAGTAATCAAGTAATGCTAACATTTATACATCTATTAATAGTTGTGTAATAAATTTTGTGTATTATTAAGTGCTATTATGTGACTTATGAATTATTATGGTTAATTTTGTGTACTATATATATATAAGTGACATTACACAAGTGTTGTAAGTTTAAGTGTACTAGGTAATATGATATATCTTGTACAAGTAACAAGCAAGTATAGGAGTCTAATTAATGATTATCAATGTTTAAAAAGCATATACAAACAACTTATTAATGAGTAACTGAGCGAAACGTTTATGCATCGCATATTTACAGAATCTCCTTTTATTCTAAGAAAAAAGTCAGGCTGCTTTGTAAACAAATCTACATTTTCACACAAAACAACAACAACTAGCTTCATATGTGCCATCACTTGCTACCACACTGTCTTAAAGGTAAAAGTCCTGTCATAAACCTGCATGTGTGCAAATAAAACCTTGAAAACCTCCATTCTTTCATTAGCACTCCCTCTAGTGGCTGTCCACATGCATAGCAGAGAGAAAGAGTGAGAGAATACAGTGACAAAGCCAGTTGTTCTACGAAACAATTACATGATTACATGGAAGGAAAGGAAGTAAAACTGCAAACGACAAGAACTAAGTAAAGAATATCCGAGACAGCTCATGAAAGTGCTAAAAATAGCGCTGCTTTGTTGGTACTGGCTATGTATGGCTTGTCTAAGGAACACCTACACACACATGGGTCTAATGCAGTCGGATGTGACTCATCAGTTGTTAGGAGGAGACCAACGAAAGAGTGATGACATTTATGCTGGCTGGGAAAGAGTGCACAATGTGCACTCTTACATAAAAATAAAAAATAAGCCTGTTTCTTTTCTACAACCCCATTTCCAAAAAAGTTGGGACGCTGTGCAAAATGTCAATGAAAAAAAAATGCAATGATGCTCAAATCATTTAAACCCTATATTAAATTGAAAATGCTTCAAAGACAACATATCAAATATTGAAACTGAGAAATTCTATTGTTTTTTGAAAAATTTGATGCCAACAACATGTTCCAAAAAAGTTGGGACAGGGGCAACAAAAGGCTGGTAAAGATGTATAATGCTAAGAAAAACACCTGGTGGTTAATTGACAACAGGTCAATAACATGATTGGGTATAAAAAGCATCCCAGAGAGGCGGAGTCTTT